GTCGATTGTAAGAGTTGGGGCCAGCTGGCAATGCGAGGGCTCTGGTGAGTGGGATTGCTCGTCTGGCAGTTCTTCGGATTTGTCTTCCTGTGGTCTTGGGAGGCTCTGGAGCTCCAATTGGCTTGGAGCTCTTCTCTGTGGAACCTGAAAGGCGTTGGGCGCGGCCCCCGCAGGCCGTTGGTCGAGGGGGACGCCACGTCTGATGGCTAAGGTAAGCTCAGATTGCACCCACAAGGCTTCTATGGTATCGTCTCTGCTGTATAGCAGTCCGGACAAAAGGCGATGGTGTCCCTGAAGTGTCTGGCGTGCTGCGCAGCCGCACTGAGTAGAGCGCATTTTAGGAAGCCTCGTCCTCTGACCGCCTTCTGACCTCGGCCAGCCAAGGATACTAGTGCTTGCAAGTATGACATCGGGGGGCATGTGTTAGACTCCAGATTTGGCATGGAGGCTTGAATGAATCTCCCACTTGGCCTGAGTGGCGTCTAATGCTTGGCCGAGCAGGGAAAGCCACTTGACCAGCCAGGACGCGCTGATGTTTTCACCTCGGAAACCGAGGGACAGACAGAAGTGCTTGTGCGCACAGCGACAGAGCGGACGGCTTGATTCTCTGAATGTCCCCAAACCTAAGGCTACAACGTGCGCACAAGAGCAGAGCGCCTAGCAGCAAGCCCACGGCAGGCGTGCGTGCAAGCGAAACTACGCGCTCTTGCTGCAAGTATGGCCAATGGCAAAGGCAGGGCTTCGCGTCGGTCATGGGGTTTGGGGTTGTATGCGAAAGACTTGATTAAGGGGCTGCCCATCAAGTCAAGCAGGCTTGGTAGCCAACCAGGACAGGGCTTTACTCATCATGATTGCGCTGCATTTGAGTGCAGTCCGGTCATGGCAACCTGCGATGAAATCTGACAGGTGGGCTAAGGTAAGGCGACACACACTGATTCACAAAGGTCAGAGGTGAGAAAAAGACGGATAGCCCGGAGGTACTGTAACAGCGCGCCCTTCGAGAACTTGCGCAGCGAGGCCTCGACAAGGACGTGCGGGTGTTGCGAGGCTTCCAGGGCTTGCGCTAGAAGACTGCTATCAATACACAACTTGAGTATCAGAACCCATTCCGTAGTGCACTTGTCCTTCAGCGTGGCCTGTAATTGCGCAGTTGACAAAGGCTCGGATGGGCGAGCAGGTCCGTATGGCCTGGGCAACGCAGGTCTGGCGCTGAACACGCGGCGTGCGGGAATCACTGCAGCCGATAGGCTGTTCTGGGGCCGGACCTGACTTGCGCGGTCCTGACTTGTGTGTGTCAACAAAGCTAGACTGCGAGGCCTTCCGGAATTAGGAAACCGGGTTCCTGATTGAGCCTAGACCGAGGAGGCAGTTAAGACGGCTTGGTTCTCTGCTGTCATGCTGGAGACCATGCCCATCAAGTCTGGCGCTGATGAAGGCACCTGGTCCGGCATGCCAAGGGCGAGAGGGTGGGACAAGGCGGGAGCGTGGCGTGGTTGCACACTGCTAAATGGCCGCAAACCAACTGCGATGGCTGCAAATCTAGTGCGCAACCAATTCTGCAAGTCCGGGGCGCGTGATGACAGGGCTACTTGAAGCACGCAGCGCGAGCCTGTCAAGCACGCCGATCCAGGGCAACTGTTGATTTGGCATGAGTGTGCACACACATGCTTGACCAAGGCTGCGGCAGAATTTTGGTTCCTGAGTTGGCTGGTTGGCGCGGAAGGTCAATGGAGGCATCAACTAACGCTCAAAACTGCTCTTTTTCGTCCTGTGAGAATTGCAAAGTAAGGTCCACTGGTTCGTGAGCGTGGTTCCCCAAGGCTGGCAACGCGGGCGCTGCAGTCTGAAGGCGCTCCATGGTGTTTTCGAGGTCTTCAAGGCTGGATAACACTGCATTTAAAAGGCTGGTTGTTTTGGGAGCAGCGCAGGCGTGCAAAAGCAAGACTAAGGCGGTTTCAGAATGTTCATGCCAGTGTTGCTGCATTGCGAAACTCCTGAAGTTAGGATCACTGGCAGCTGCTAGAAGGCCTCTGGCTGATTGGCGACCTGCGGCTGGTTCACGAAAGCAGGCCGTAGGCAGGCTCCAATCAAATGCGGAGGCGAACTTGGCCAGGCTGTTCACCGTAAAGACCTGGCTCATCACAAACGCGCACAGTGTGAAGGCCAGTGCGCAGGACGATGAAGTCCAAGTAAAGGCGAAGGTAGTTCATTAGGGCAATCTTACGTTGCCTAGCGAAGAAAGTGTCTGCCCAGCATGCAATCAGGCAAATCCATTGCTCAATCAGTTCAGGAACGTCTGTAGGCGATAGCGCCATCACAAGGTATTTGAGCGAAAGGGCTATATCCATGCAAGACTGTGTTGAGTGCATCAGCCTTGCCGAGCCTACAATGGCCGGCCAAAAAGCGAGAAACCGCCAAGCCGCCAGATCTGGAGATCTGTGAAGGAAACTGGAAGATGGCAACTTCTCCCACGACACCATTCTAGCTCATGTCAGCTAAGCTGACAAAGCTGGACGCCTTGATCAAAGCACTGCTAGGGAGCAAACGGGTACTCCGAAAAACACTCGAGCAGTGCATAGGCCTGCTCATTTGGGCCACCAGCATTGCGCTGCATCTGAGATCTTGGCTAGCGCCGCTATACTCTGATCTTAGCAGCCCGCCAGGCTCAACGCACTCTATGCCACCTCAAATGTGGTCAGCCTTCAGAGCATCCTTGAACAAGGATCTCAAAACAAGCCATAGCCTTCCCAGCCTGTGGATCGCAGTGGGCTCAATTTTTTGGAAATTTCGTGCCGCGCCACAAGGGCATCCCGCGTGTGCCTGGCACAAGCAAACCCACGTGGGTACGTGTTGCAGATCCTAATAAGCCAGCAATGCCTTACATGCGGCCTCATCCTGCGATGCTTTGGCTCGTTCTTCCACAACCCAACGTCTGTACCTCTCACGGCACTTTGCACTATGCACTCGGCCTTTCGGCCCAAGTTGACATGCTGAGCAATCCTTGCTACGTCCATGCTCCTGGTACCAAGTCCAGGGAGGGTTCCCTACGACTTCTTCTGGCAAAACCTTCTGTCTTCGTGCTTCCAGTGCTCGCCAGTTCAGCCCTTGGCACGGCGACGCCAGCTGCCAAGCTGGCAGCCGCGGATGCGTGTGCCGAAGACGACTTGGTAGGAATAGGGGGCTGGGCAATCACTTCCTCGGAACATGCAGGACATACGGGCAGTATGGCCTTGCCTTGTCAAGCCTGGACAGCGGTACATCGCATGCTTCGAGAAGCTGGCGCAGTTGGCACTGCTGCAAGCTACCCACAGCCATATTGGTGGTGGGCACTACTCGTTCAGCATGCCTTCAGTTCGGCAACGGAAGCAAGCCTTAACAAAATGTTCACGACCTCCTGGCCGTTGCAACTCTTCGTGCAGTTAACAGCCTTCTGGGCTCACGCGCGCAACGTGCTGCTGCAGCCAACACATGTTCCGGGAAGGAGCAATGATTGGGCAGATGACCTCAGCAGAGGTCGGTTGGCCAGATTCAGCCATCGCCCTGAGAGTCGCGTACGCTTCAGCCCTGCGGTCAGCTGTGTCCGATAGATGCGCCCTGGCGCCCGGAACATCTGGCAGCTGCCTCCAGCAGTGCGTAGCCGAGCCTTATTGCGTCCCAACATGCATCGCGACCCGATAGCCAACCTCGCCCTGGCAACCAGAATACCTGGCTGCGTCGGCCGGCAGCTTGACATCAAGCCGCTTTGACTAAAAAAAAGAGCAGACCCTGAGCGACAGGATGCTCACAACCAAGCGCGTGCGATGTCATGCTTACATGGGTGATGAGGCCGGCGGCCCAGCTGGCTCGCTTATACCGGGGTTGCCTGAAACACTGAAGGGGGGGTCAACGCACCTCCTGCTCCAGGCGCACCCGTGCCCTGGAAGCAGTGCTACTTTCAGCAATCCCGGAAAAAGAACTGCGGCCGCTTCGGACTTGCATTGTTCTTTTGGGTGGTCTTGTTTGGGTTCAAGCTAGGAGCAGTGCAACATGCCTTAACGCTTAGGGTTTTCTTTTCCCTTGTGTTTAGGGCATGTTGTGAATCTACCTACGCGGTGGCCATTTTGATAAAAGCCTTGACCCAAACTTGCTGTTTCATTTGAAACCCACCCACCCACCCTGCACTGCCTTATGCAAGGCTCTGCAAAAGAGAAGTCGCAGACGCTCTGCACTTCCGTTCATGGTCTCCGGACCACTTGGTCTCCGGACCGCATGGTCTCCGGATCATGCAGGTTTGGGCAGAGCCGCAGCTTGCCCTTTCCTGACCGGGTGTGGGCACGCTTGCCACGCCATGCACGCACTGCATGCATTTGCAAGGACACGCGTTGTCTTGCCTTGTAGTTTCACGGGGGGTCAACGCACCTCCTGCTCCATTCGCACCCGTGCCCTGGAAGCAGTGCTACTTTCAGCAATCCCGGTAAAAAGAACTGCGGCCGCTTCGGACTTGCATTGTTCTTTTGGGTGGTCTTGTTTGGGTTCAAGCTAGGAGCAGTGCAACATGCCTTAACTTATCTGTTGGTCATTTTCCTTGTGGTTGTTTGGTTACTTGTGTGGGAAACCCTGAACTTTGGGACCGGGGATTGGTTACCGTTTTTGGGGCCTTTCTTTTTGTAGCTTATTTACCTCAACTAACCCTAGGCTCGTGCCCGAATCACACAAAACAACACTTTCTTCATCAGGCCTGAATAGACTTCCCCCAAAGCCGACAAACTGATGTATTTTGGGCTCCAGCTCCTGGACAATTTGGTGCGAAATGGCAATGACGCGTGAAGCACATTCTCTTGTATCGGTCAACATGTTCAACCCGCGTTGGAATCTTGGCACAATGCTTGCGTGCGCAGCTTGGGGCTCTGCTGTTCAGTTTCGCCCTTTGGCTTACCTTGTGCCACTCGCACCTCAGTCTTAGAGACCCCAATTTCGCGACAGACCAACTGAACATCGATGCAGAGCAGGGCAGGGTCCAGGTTTCAGTCTTAAGCTTTTGAGCACCATGGCCATGGCTCCAAAGAGGAGCGCATCTCACCGGCTAATTTTGCCTTGCGTTCTCATTTGGCTCTTCCACTTTGAAGCGACCTTCAGCATTCTGGAGGGCATCCAAAAAGCTGCCCAAGCCCAGCGCATCAGCCCTGAGAAATTCTTAGAAAATGTGAGCGGCAATGCGGGGGCTTACCAAGAGAGCAATAAGATTGCGGGGCGTGTCGATTTCATGAACTCGTTGAAGGAGGCGGCGCGATGGAGCTTTTTGATTTGGGTGGGTTTGTTGCCTGTTTGTTTGAATGGCAGGAGAGATACAACTCACGATGTCGCTTGAGCCTTGTCAGGCTATGAGAACGAAAGGCTTGCACCTCGTCATCAGTGGTGGATCCCTCGGCACGACGAAGATTTTAAAGACCATGGTTGACCAAGCTGGCGACGCTGCATTGCTCTACGTCGACATGCGTCTCCCGCCCGTGCCCAGCTCGGGAGACGTATTGCAATGCCTGCAAGCAGAAGCCAAACGACGATGGAACGCGAAGAATGTGCCTTCTTGGTTCCCCGATGCCATGTCGGTGCTTGGTGCTGTGTCTGCAGGAGCGGCACAGGCTGTTTCTGCCCTGTTAAATATCAAATCACCTGAAGACTTTGTCACTGCCTTTGGTGATGCAGCAGTGGCTGGTGGACAAGTTCCTGTCATCATGATTGACGAAGCGAACTTGGCGTTCCCCACACATGGTGAGAATGGCAGCGAAAACGCTGCCAAGAGAGAAGCCGCCTCCAAGGCGCTCGCCACCCTCGTAGCATTGACAAAGAAGGTCAGCGTGATTCTCATCGCGTCTGACTATGCCTTCTCACTGGGTCTGCAGGGACTGCGCTTCAACAAGTACGGCTCTCTCAAGTCGATTGTGTGTCCAGAGGTGGAAGAGGAGCCCATGCTGGAAGTGCTCAAAGAGTGGGGTTTGTCTCAAGACCTGGCGAAGGAGTGGTCGACTTTGCACGTTTCCGAGTTTGCTTTTGTTAGCTCAGGCAGCTTGCCCAGGACACGGTTGAATTTGGTGTTCTTCGTGTGGCTGAGTTGCTTGTCATTGATACGAATCGTGCTGCTTTGCAGGAGTTCTACAAGAACTTTGGTGGAAACATCTTTCTATGCCACCAAGCCATTGACAAACTTCAGGAGCAGTTTAGGATGGGTGAGGAAAACCTCTTCCACCCCTTCAACGTCCGAGGCGGCAATGCCTGCGGTGACCTCGTGGGCGACCCGCTCACTCGGAAGCACATGGTGAACTTGGCTGAGAAAGGATGGTCAGCAATAGAGGATGGCACTGCAACAGAGGAGACGGAGAGCCAGAGAGGCGCCCGAGTCATCGCCAAGAGGAACTTCGGCGCCATCATCGAGAGAGAAGCGCCTACTTTCTTGGACCCAGCCTTGAAGGCAGCGATGTTCAGAGACCCCAATGTTGGGCGGGTTCTCCTTTCGCCGACCACCTACGCTCGGAAGTGCATCCAAAGGATGGTGGAGACTATGAAGTCAAGCGCCTTGGACGTTTTCAAAGCCAACAGTGAAGCTTTTTGAGATCAAACTAGATCATCAGATCCTTGAATGGACTCCGTTCAACACAAGGCAGACCTCAACAAGCCGGAGCGGTGTGGGTGAGGCAGCTGCAGCAGGACTGACAAGGGTTGCATCTTTTCCCGAGGTATTCGTTGTGACGAACCCTTCCCAGCTAGCGTTTCCTGCCAGTCATGCCTATCCTGCAAAGTTTGACGCTGTGCATGTGACTTCCAAAAGTCAAGAGATTGGCAGCGGGCAAGTTGGTTGTGCAAGACAACGCCTTGTCATGCGTTGTTCTTGTTACTTGTCGCGGGGATTGATTGCAGGGTTGTTTATTGCTCAGGATTTGTTGAAAGATATCTTCCAAGACGAAAAACTTTGTATGTTGTGCTGCCATGCCCTTTCTTATTCAATGTCCATTCCCTTTTGTGACGCGCAGGAAAGAAGCATTTCCAAAGCCCCCACCTCCAAAGTCCACTGCGTTTGTGAGAATCGCGGAGCCGTTCGTTGAATGGATGGATGTGAACTGGAACGCAGTGCTTGTGGATCTGCGAGGACGGCAAGGACTTTGAGATCGTCGGCAACGCGTTTCAGGTCAAAGGTGTTTTGACAAACGCAGCGACCTCAGCTGGGCCACTGGACAAAGGATTTACCTCAGCTCTGTTTTGCCTTTGGAAATGTTGCTTCGTGCTTTGCGGGGAGGTGAATGACCTCAAGACAGCCCTGCGCTTAGAGCTTGTGAGCCTCGCTAGCTTGCGCTTTCCATTGTAAGCTGTTTGCAGAAGGGTCATGACAAAAGATGGAGGGTTTGAGTGATTTCAACTCTGCTGAGCGTTGCTTGAGGCCATCAAGAAGAAGCAGGAGAAGCCAAATCGAGTGATGTGCGATGCAGATGAAATTGACCTCTACAGCCAGAAGGAGAGCTTTGCGTGTCAAAGCGCACCCCCATTTGTTGCTTTGCGTGTCAACAACACAAACCCATTTGTTCCATTCTCTCACCTCACCCCTTGCCGTGTCTCAGCTTGACTTTGCAGGACGGCCGCTGGGTGAAAGAAGAGAAGATGTCAGCAAGTCTCCGTGAGACAGACAAGCAGAGCACTTGGTTTTGATGCATTTCGACCTCGGGTTTTGCCGTCGCCCAGCTCTCAGGGCAGATTGCTACGGATTTGTGCTGCCAGCTGTACCCATTTCTGCATAGGCGCCTCCCTCAGCAGCGCAGCATTTTACACTTGTGAACTTGCATCGTGGCCAGACCACTGCTGGCTGCGGCCACTTGCTGTTCTAGACTCAGGCAATGCTGCAATGTTTCACCTCGTGCAGTGGGCGCCATCGCTTCGTTGCAGAGTGACTTTGCTTGAAGGGTTAGGAGCTCGATGCTCACAGGAACATGAAGCTGCGGTGTTCAAGACAAGCAGAATACCGGACCAGCAACAGTTGCCGGCGCTGGTCGAAAGCTGCTTTACAGAGGCATTCCCCTTTGTGCGCAGATGCAGTCAATGCAGTACCAAACCATTTGAAGATTTGTGTGGAGGAAGGGATTGCACTCGTGGCTTGCCGTGCTTCAAGCGTTGCCGAGCCCTGCTGTGGAATGAGTTCTCAAACCTTTCTTGCAGGGCCCCAGCCCCGAAGTCCAGTTTCAAGGGCCGGCCCAAAGGCCTTTGTTTTTTAGTTCACAGGACGAGTGTTTTTTGTGTCACGCGAGCTCTTTTGCTTGTGGTTTTCGATGTTTTACGTTTTTGGACGGTCTGCTCGAACTCCTTGTCATCCTGTCCGTCCTTGCTTGGATTTGTTGCAATGCGGATTGGGCCCAAGCTGGGTGAGCAACACCCGCAATATGAAATGAGGCGATCCTCAGTGCGTCAAGCATGCCACGGTGTCCACTTCGTTGTGCTGTGCATTTGTTTGACGAATCGCTGTGCGGACAGCTGCAATCCTGAGCAGTGCAAGAGTCTGGTGACCAATTTGAAGGATTGCGTAGACACTGCGTATTTTGGTGGAGGAGACAATTTGATCGCACTGTGCGCAAGGGATGATGGGGCCAAGCTTGCGGTGAGGCTCTCTGTGGTGGAGGACATTCGGCCCAAGTCAGAGTATGACAGCTTTCGAACCATGTACTTGTTTAGCAAGGATTTAGCTAGATCTCTTTGCGGGCATGATTGGATCCAGTCCCTGATTGTGCCGAAGCTCCGCAAAGCCATGCAGCAAACCTCGGTGCGGCGCATTCTCAGAACGAGTGAGTATCATGGAGAAATCCGCTGGAGAGACGAGTTTTTATGGAGGAAGATGGTGTTTGCCCCAGCACCGTCCCTGCACGAATGTTTGGCTTGTGTGCAGATATGTTCCAGAGTGCCTGTGCTGAATCAAAACCATCAGCGTGTGGCGAACCTATCCAGGTCAGTCCAGATCGGGATCAGCATCATGAAAGGTGTCGATGGGTCCTTCAAAAGCGTATATGAAAAGCTGACAGTCCAAGCCATTTCCACTATCTTGGTAGGGTACCACTTGGACCTTGCCACAATGGCAGACTCGAACCACTTCCATGATGCACACGAAGGCAACGTGCTCCTCTCTTTGTCTGGCGTAGATTTTCCAGAGATCCGCTGGCATGACTTCGGGGGCAGTTATAAGCCTGCGGGCGGGTTGGTCACGCCAGCTTTGACCGCTGACTTTGTGGGTAAGATTGAGCGCTTTTCCGACACAGGGATCAACCATATCAGGATGACACACCAAGATTTTGCCTCAAGACTGAATGAGACGCGCAAGAAGTGCACTTTAGTCGGGCAAGAGATGGTACTGGTGCCATTGTGTTTGCGTCAACGCGCTTTCAGCTTGGTGGAAACCATGCTGAACGCGGACGTCATGGACACCTCGGCCCAGCGAAAGCTCTTGGAAAAGATTTCGCTGGGAATGCCCGAGCTGTCCCAAAAGGAGCTGTGGCGACAGTTCTTTGCAGGCAGGTTTGTTTGGCGCATTTACCACGCTGCCAAGAATGCCACCTGCAAGGCAGTGCCGCCTCGCAACCACCCCCAGCAGTGTGGGTCTGTCAGCTGGGAAGCCCTGCCTGGACCTTACCAGCAGCTGTGTGCAGTCTTGCCTGCCCTGCATTCATGTTCGAGAGAAAGCTGTCAAAGGGTCGACTTCCTTCTCAGAAGAACTCTCGAAAGGCATTCCCTTTTGTGACGCGCAGGAATGATCCATTCCCAAAGCCCCCACCTCCAAAATCCACTGCGTTTGTGAAAATCGCGGAGCCACTGGTTAAACGGATGGATGTGAACTGGATTGCAGTGCTTGTGCATTGCGAGGATGGCAAGGACTTTGAGATCGTCGGCAACGCATTCAAAATCACTGCTAGTGTTTCAGATGCCCACGCCTCAGCTGCGCCACTTTGTGAAGGATCTACTTCAGCTTGTTTTGCCTCGGAAATGCTGCTTCATGCTTTGCGGGGATGTCAGGTGGATGACTTGAAGAAAGCCCCGCCCTTGAAAGGGCTCAAGTCGAATTTCGCTCATGCTGTCTTGCGAGCTGTTTGTAGAAGGGCGATGACCAAGATGGAGGGTTTGAGTGATTTCAACTCTGACCGTTTCTCAGGCCATCAAGCAGGAGAAGCCAAACCGAGTCATATGCGATGCTGATGAAATTGACATTTACAGCAAAGAGGAGAGCTTTGCATGTCAAAGCGTGCCCATTTGTTCCATTCCCCACACCTCACCCCTTACCGTGTCTCAGCTTGACTTTGCAGGACGGCCGCTGGGTCAAGGAAGCCAAGATGTCAGCAAGTCTGCGCGACACAGATGAGCTGAGCACTCGGACCGACGCCTTTCAACTTTGGGTTGGTGCCGTCGCCCAGCTGTCAGGGCAGACTGCTACGGATTCATGTTACCAGCTGAAGCTGCTGGAGCCGCATAGTTTGAGGCACCTCAGCAGCGCAGCAGTGCTCTACACTTGTGAACTTGCATCGTTGCCAGGCTACTGCTAGCTGTGGTCACTTGCTATTCTCGGCTGAGGCAATGCTGGGGCACAACGTTTCACCTCGTGCAGTGACAAAGGGCGCAGTCGCAGGCACAGTTGTTTCGTCGCAGTGCATTTTTGCTTGACTCTTGAAGCGTAAGGGAGGTCAATGTTCACACTTTTGAACATCAGGCTGCGGTGTTCAAGACGAGCAGAAAATGTGCGTGCGACGGGTGCAGGACCAGTGACGCGCTGGTCAACAGCTGTTTCACCGAGGCATTCCTCCTTGTGCCTAAGTGCGCAGATGCAGTACCAAACCATTTGAAGAAGTGCGGATGGAAATGATTGGCAACTTGTGCGCATTGTTTCATGCTATTTGTTGAGCGTGGCGCTCAGATAAGCTTGTTGAAGAGCAGACACTGCTGCGAGGCGGCGTTGCCTTGCAGGTGGCATTCTTGGCAAGCAACGTGATAAGTGCGCCTGTCCACTGGCCCTGAAACTGGTAAGCTTTATAGATCGTCCATCCGACTGGAAAGCAACAAGCACATCCCAAGGCCAAAGAACAAGAGCTTTTGCTCAAGGGCGCGTCAGCTTTCATCAAAAGCGTTGCTCCAGGCTGGGCTCAAACGCTTCCACGTGAAGCTTGATAATTACACTTAAAGCAACATCTGCAGCGACATGATACGAAGCTGACGAAAACGGACAGAAGCTGACAGATCACGACCGCAAACTGACGAAAACGGACGGAAGCTGACGGATCACGACCGTAAACTGACGACAACGGACGGATCACAACCTTAAACTGACGGATCACGACCGAAGCTGACGGATCACGACCGTAAACTGACGGATCGCGACCGTAAACTGACGGATCACGACCGTAAACTGACGGATCACGACCGCAAACAGACGGATCGCGACCGAAGCTGACGGATCACGACCGAAACTGACGGATCACGACCGTAAACTGACGGATCACGAGCGTAAACTGACACATCACGACCGAAACTGACGGATCACGATCGCAAACTGACGGATCACGACCTTAAACTGACGGATCACGACCTTAAACTGACGGATCACGACCGCAAACTGACGGATCACGACCGAAACCGACGGATCACGACCGCAAACTGACGGATCACGACCGCAAACTGACGGATCACGACCGGAACAAGAGCGTTAAACGCGAAAAATCGACCTAATGTACCGCGACATGCTGAGTTGTGCAACGCGCGACCCGTTTCGAGGCGGTCCTGCAGAACACGCGCAGAAATTCAGCGAGATTAACAACAGCGGGAAAACGACAACCCGCACACAAACTGACTGTCCGTCCTTGCTTGGATTTGTTGCAATGCGGATTGGCCCAGGTTCTGGTGAGCAACACCCGCGAAAACGAAATGGAGGTTTATCCGCCGCGCTGCAAGACGCCAATGTGTCCACTTTGTCAGCTGGGCATCTGAGTTTGACGGATCGCTGTGCGGACAGCCGCAAATCCCGAGGCGTAAACAGTCTGAGATCAATTTGAAGCGATCGCGAGACACCGCGTGATTTTGGTGGAGGGAGACAACGATCGCACGCAAAGCGCAGGGGATGATGGACCGAGTTTGGCAGAGGCTCTCTGTGGTGGAGGACAATCCGCCCAAGTCAGAGATGACAGCTTTCGAACCATGTACTTGTTTAGCATGATTTAGCTAGATCTCTTTATGGCATGATTGATCCAGTCCCTTGATTGTGCCGAAGCTCCGCAAAGCCATGCAGCAAACCTCGGTGCGGCGCATTCTCAGAACGAGTGAGTATCATGGAGAAATCCGCTGGAGAGACGAGTTTTTATGGAGGAAGATGGTGTTTGCCCCAGCACCGTCCCTGCACGAATGTTTGGCTTGTGTGCAGATATGTTCCAGAGTGCCTGTGCTGAATCAAAACCATCAGCGTGTGGCGAACCTATCCAGGTCAGTCCAGATCGGGATCAGCATCATGAAAGGTGTCGATGGGTCCTTCAAAAGCGTATATGCAAAGCTGACAGTCCAAGCCATTTCCACTATCTTGGTAGGGTACCACTTGGACCTTGCCACAATGGCAGACTCGAACCACTTCCATGATGCACACGAAGGCAACGTGCTCCTCTCTTTGTCTGGCGTAGATTTTCCAGAGATCCGCTGGCATGACTTCGGGGGCAGTTATAAGCCTGCGGGCGGGTTGGTCACGCCAGCTTTGACAGCTGACTTTGTGGGTAAGATTGAGCACTTTTCCGACACAGGGATCAACCATATCAGGATGACACACCAAGATTTTGCCTCAAGACTGAATGAGACGCGCAAGAAGTGCACTTTAGTCGGGCAAGAGATGGTACTGGTGCCATTGTGTTTGCGTCAACGCGCTTTCAGCTTGGTGGAAACCATGCTGAACGCGGACGTCATGGACACCTCGGCCCAGCGAAAGCTCTTGGAAAAGATTTCGCTGGGAATGCCCGAGCTGTCCCAAAAGGAGCTGTGGCGACAGTTCTTTGCAGGCAGGTTTGTTTGGCGCATTTACCACGCTGCCAAGAATGCCACCTGCAAGGTGAGGCCACAGCTCCCCACCCCCAGCAGGTGTGGGTCTACCAGCTGGGAAGCCTGCCTGACCTTGCTGTGCAGCTGTGTGCAGTCTTGTTTGCCTGTCCATGTTCGAGAGAAAGCTGTCAAAGGGTCGACTTCCTTCTCAGAAGAACTCAACTCTCGAAAGGCATTCGCTTTTGTGACGCGCAGGAGGAATGAAGCATTCCCAAAGCCCCCACTTCCAAAATCCACTGGTGTTTAGGGAAAATCATGAGCCACTGGTTAAACGGATGGATGTGAACTGGATTGCAGTGCTTGTGCATTGCGAGATGGCAAGGACTTTGAGATCGTCGGCAACGCATTCAAAATCACTGCTAGTGTTTCAGATGCCCACGCCTCAGCTGCGCCACTTTGCGAAGGATCTACTTCAGCTTGTTTTGCCTTCGGAAATGCTGCTTCATGCTTTGCGGGGATGTCAGGTGGATGACTTGAAGAAGCCGTGCGCTCAGAAGCCGTTTGCTTTGGCTCTTTGTCCGTTCTGGTTTGAGACCATTGTCATACTCTGATGGCGTGAGGCCATCGAGAAGAAGGCGAAGCTGAGCGTAGCAGCATTCAAGATTGACATTTACAGACAGAAGGAGAGCTTTGCGTGTTCAAGGGCACCCGTTTCTTTCCCCGCACCTCACCCCTTGCCGTCTCTCAGCTGGACTTTGCAGGACGGCCGCTGGGTGAAAGAAGAGAAGATGTCAGCAAGTCTCCGTGAGACAGACGAGCAGAGCACTTGGTTTTGATGCATTTCGACCTTGGGTTTTGCCATCGAGCTCTCAGGGCAGATTGCTACGGATTTGTGCTGCCAGCTGTACCCATTTCTGCATAGGCGCCTCCCTCAGCCGCGCAGCATTTTACACTTGTGAACTTGCGTCGTGGCCAGACCACTGCTGGCTGCGGCCACTTGCTGTTCTAGACTCAGGCAATGCTGCAATGTTTCACCTCGTGCAGTGGGCGCCATCGCTTCGTTGCAGAGTGACTTTGCTTGAAGGATTAGGAGCTCGATGCTCACAGGAACATGAAGCTGCGGTGTTCAAGACAAGCAGAATACCGGACCAGCAACAGTTGCCGGCGCTGGTCGAAAGCTGTTTTACAGAGGCATTCCCCTTTGTGCGCAGATGCAGCTTGGCCAGTACCAAACCATTTGTGACTTGTGGAGAAGTTAGACTCGTGGCTTGCCGTGCTTCGTCGCTAAGCGAGTCTCTGCTGTGGAATGAGTTCTCAAACCTTTCCTTGCAGGGCCCAAGCCTCAAGTCCAGTTTTCAAGGGCCGGCCCAAAGGCCTTTGCTTTTAGTTCACAGGACGAAAGCTTTTGTGTCACGCGATCTTGCTTGTGGTTTTCGATGTTTACTGCTGGACGGTCTGCTCCGAACTCCTTGTTATCCTGTCCGTCCTTGCTTGGATTTGTTGCAATGCGGATTGGGCCCAAGCTGGGTGAGCAACACCCGCAAAATGAAATGAGGCGATCCTCAGTGCGTCAAGCATGCCACGGTGTCCACTTTGTTGTGCTGTGCATTTGTTTGACGAATCGCTGTGCGGACAGCTGCAATCCTGAGCAGTGCAAGAGTCTGGTGACCAATTTGAAGGATTGCGTAGACACTGCGTATTTTGGTGGAGGAGACAATTTGATCGCACTGTGCGCAAGGGATGATGGGACCGAGCTTGCGGTGAGGCTCTCTGTGGTGGAGGACATTCGGCCCAAGTCAGAGTATGACAGCTTTCGAACCATGTACTTGTTTAGCAAGGATTTAGCTAGATCTCTTTGCGGGCATGATTGGATCCAGTCCCTGATTGTGCCGAAGCTCCGCAAAGCCATGCAGCAAACCTCGGTGCGGCGCATTCTCAGAACGAGTGAGTATCATGGAGAAATCCGCTGGAGAGACGAGTTTTTATGGAGGAAGATGGTGTTTGCCCCAGCACCGTCCCTGCACGAATGTTTGGCTTGTGTGCAGATATGTTCCAGAGTGCCTGTGCTAAGACAAAACCATCATGCAGGCGATTTGGCCAAAGACCGTCCAGATCGACTGGCATCATGAAAGGTGTCGATGGGTCCTTCAAAAGCGATATGAAAAGCTGACAGTCCTGCCATTTTACCATTCCCAGTAGGGTACCACTTGGACCCTAAGCAATGGCACTCGAACCACTTCCCATGATGCACACGGCTGGGCAACGTGCCCTCTCTTGTCTGGCGATTTTCCCAGAGATCCGCTGCGGGGGCAGTTATAAGCCTGCGGGCGGGTTGGTCACGCCAGCTTTGACAGCTGACTTTGTGGGTAAGATTGAGCGCTTTTCCGACACAGGGATCAACCGTATCAGGATGACACACCAAGATTTTGCCTCAAGACTGAATGAGACGCGCAAGAAGTGCACTTTAGTCGGGCAAGAGATGGTACTGGTGCCATTGTGTTTGCGTCAACGCGCTTTCAGCTTGGTGGAAACCATGCTGAACGCGGACGTCATGGACACCTCGGCCCAGCGAAAGCTCTTGGAAAAGATTTCGCTGGGAATGCCCGAGCTGTCCCAAAAGGAGCTGTGGCGACAGTTCTTTGCAGGCAGGTTTGTTTGGCGCATTTACCACGCTGCCAAGAATGCCACCTGCAAGGCAGTGCCGCCTCGCAACCACCCCCAGCAGTGTGGGTCTGTCAGCTGGGAAGCCCTGCCTGGACCTTACCAGCAGCTGTGTGCAGTCTTGCCTGCCCTGCATTCATGTTCGAGAGAAAGCTGTTAAAGGGTCGACTTCCTTCTCAGAAGAACTCTCGAAAGGCATTCCCTTTTGTGACGCGCAGGAATGAAGCATTCCCAAAGCCCCCACCTCCAAAATCGAAAACGGATGGATGTGAACTGGATTGCAGTGCTTATGCATTGCGAGGATGGCAAGGACTTTGAGATCGTCGGCAACGCATTCAAAATCACTGCTAGTGTTTCAGATGCCCACGCCTCAGCTGCGCCACTTTGTGAAGGATCTACTTCAGCTTGTTTTGCCTCGGAAATGCTGCTTCATGCTTCACGGGGATGTCAGGTGGATGATCTTAAAGAAGCCGTGCGCTCAGAAGCCGTTTGCTTTGGCTCTTTGTCCGTTCTGGTTTGAGACCATTGTCATACTCTGATGGCGTGAGGCCATCGAGAAGAAGGCGAAGCTGAGCGTAGCAGCATTCAAGATTGACATTTACAGACAGAAGGAGAGCTTTGCGTGTTCAAGGGCACCCGTTTCTTTCCCCGCACCTCACCTCTCGCCGCTTCCTCGCTGGACTTGCAGGACGGCCGCTGGGTGAAAGAAGAGAAGATGTCACAAGTCTCCAGGAGACACGAGCAGAGCACTTGGTTTTGATGTACTGACCTTGGGTTTTGCCACGAGCCTATAGGGCAGATTGCTACGGATTTGAAGTGCCAGCTGTGCCCATTTCTGCATAGGCGCCTCCCTCAGCCGCGCAGCATTTTACACTTGTGAACTTGCGTCGTGGCCAGACCACTGCTGGCTGCGGCCACTTGCTGTTCTAGACTCAGGCAATGCTGCAATGTTTCACCTCGTGCAGTGGGCGCCATCGCTTCGTTGCAGAGTGACTTTGCTTGAAGGGTTAGGAGCTCGATGCTCACAGGAACATGAAGCTGCGGTGTTCAAGACAAGCAGAATACCGGACCAGCAACAGTTGCCGGCGCTGGTCGAAAGCTGTTTTACAGAGGCATTCCCCTTTGTGCGCAGATGCAGTCAATGCAGTACCAAACCATTTGAAGATTTGTGTGGAGGAAGGGGTTGCACTCTGCGGGCTCGTCGTGCTCGCCGCTGTCGAGCCCTGCTGTGGAATGAGTTCTCAAACCTTTCGGTAGGCCCAAGCTCCCAAGTCCAGTTTCGCGCCTTCAGCATGTTTAAACAGAAGTATGGCCAAAGCGCGAGGTACTTGAGGCGGCGATCTTTTGCTTGTGGTTTTCGAGTGTTTACGCTTGGACGGTCTGCTCGAACTCCTTATGTTATCCTGTCCTGGTCTGCTTGGATTTGTTGCACGCGGATTGGGGCCCAAGCTGGGTGAGCAACACCGTTAATGGCGAAATGAGGCGATCCTCAGTGCGTCAAGCATGCCACGGTGTCCACTTCGTTGTGCTGTGCATTTGTTTGACGAATCGCTGTGCGGACAGCTGCAATCCTGAGCAGTGCAAGAGTCTGGTGACCAATTTGAAGGATTGCGTAGACACTGCGTATTTTGGTGGAGGAGACAATCGCACTGTGCGCAAGGGATGATGGGACCGAGCTTGCGGTGAGGCTCTCTGTGGTGGAGGACATTCGGCCCAAGTCAGAGTATGACAGCTTTCGAACCATGTACTTGTTTAGCAAGGATTTAGCTAGATCTCTTTGCGGGCATGATTGGATCCAGTCCCTGATTGTGCCGAAGCTCCGCAAAGCCATGCAGCAAACCTCGGTGCGGCGCATTCTCAGAACGAGTGAGTATCATGGAGAAATCCGCTGGAGAGACGAGTTTTTGGTGGAGGAAGATGGTGTTTGCCCCAGCACCGTCCCTGCACGAATGTTTGGCTTGTGTGCAGATATGTTCCAGAGTGCCTGTGCTGAATCAAAACCATCAGCGTGTGGCGAACCTATCCAGGTCAGTCCAGATCGGGATCAGCATCATGAAAGGTGTCATGGGTCCTTCAAAGTGGATATGAAAAGCTGACAGTCTGGCCATTTCCTCACCATTCCTGGTAGGGTACCACTTGGACCTTGCCACAATGGCAGACTCGAACCACTTCCATGATGCACACGAAGGCAACGTGCTCCTCTCTTTGTCTGGCGTAGATTTTCCAGAGATCCGCTGGCATGACTTCGGGGGCAGTTATAAGCCTGCGGGCGGGTTGGTCACGCCAGCTTTGACAGCTGACTTTGTGGGTAAGATTGAGCGCTTTTCCGACACAGGGATCAACCGTATCAGGATGACACACCAAGATTTTGCCTCAAGACTGAATGAGACGCGCAAGAAGTGCACTTTAGTCGGGCAAGAGATGGTACTGGTGCCATTGTGTTTGCGTCAACGCGCTTTCAGCTTGGTGGAAACCATGCTGAACGCGGACGTCATGGACACCTCGGCCCAGCGAAAGCTCTTGGAAAAGATTTCGCTGGGAATGCCCAGTTCTTTGCAGGCAGGTTTGTTTGGCGCATTTACCACGCTGCCAAGAATGCCATCTGCAAGGCAGTGCCGCCTCGCAACCACCCCCAGCAGTGTGGGTCTGTCAGCTGGGAAGCCTTGCCTGGACCTTACCAGCAGCTGTGTGCAGTCTTGCCTGCCCTGCATTCATGTTCGAGAGAAAGCTGCTAAAGGGTCGACTTCCTTCTCAGAAGAACTCTCGAAAGGCATTCCCTTTTGTGACGCGCAGGAATGAAGCATTCCCAAAGCCCCCACCTCCAAAATCCACTGCGTTTGTGAAAATCGCGGAGCCACTGGTTAAACGGATGGATGTGAACTGGATTGCAGTGCTTGTGCATTGCGAGGATGGCAAGGACTTTGAGATCGTCGGCAACGCATTCAAAATCACTGCTAGTGTTTCAGATGCCCACGCCTCAGCTGCGCCACTTTGTGAAGGATCTACTTCAGCTTGTTTTGCCTCGGAAATGCTGCTTCATGCTTCACGGGGATGTCAGGTGGATGATCTTAAAGAAGTCGTGCGCTCAGAAGCCGTTTGCTTTGGCTCTTTGTCCGTTCTGGTTTGAGACCATTGTCATACTCTGATGGCGTGAGGCCATCGAGAAGAAGGCGAAGCTGAGCGTAGCAGCATTCAAGATTGACATTTACAGACAGAAGGAGAGCTTTGCGTGTTCAAGGGCACCCGTTTCTTTCCCCGCACCTCACCCCTTGCCGTCTCTCAGCTGGACTTTGCAGGACGGCCGCTGGGTGAAAGAAGAGAAGATGTCAGCAAGTCTCCGTGAGACAGACGAGCAGAGCACTTGGTTTTGATGCATTTCGACCTTGGGTTTTGACATCGAGCTCTCAGGGCAGATTGCTACGGATTTGTGCTGCCAGCTGTACCCATTTCTGCATAGGCGCCTCCCTCAGCCGCGCAGCATTTTACACTTGTGAACTTGCGTCGTGGCCAGACCACTGCTGGCTGCGGCCACTTGCTGTTCTAGACTCAGGCAATGCTGCAATGTTTCACCTCGTGCAGTGGGCGCCATCGCTTCGTTGCAGAGTGACTTTGCTTGAAGGATTAGGAGCTCTATGCTCACAGGAACATGAAGCTGCGGTGTTCAAGACAAGCAGAATACCGGACCAGCAACAGTTGCCGGCGCTGGTCGAAAGCTGTTTTACAGAGGCATTCCCCTTTGTGCGCAGATGCAGTCAATGCAGTACCAAACCATTTGAAGATTTGTGTGGAGGAAGGGGTTGCACTCGTGGCTTGCCGTGCTTCAAGCGTTGTCGAGTTCTGCTGTGGAATGAGTTCTCAAACCTTTCTTGCAGGGCCCAAGCCCCCAAGTCCAGTTTCAAGGGCCGGCCCAAAGGCCTTTGCTTTTTAGTTCACAGGACGAGTGTTTGTTGTGTCACGCGGGATCTTTTGCTTGTGGTTTTCGATGTTTTACGTTTTTGGACGGTCTGCTCGAACTCCTTGTTATCCTGTCCGTCCTTGCTTGGATTTGTTGCAATGCGGATTGGGCCCAAGCTGGGTGAGCAACACCCGCAATATGAAATGAGGCGATCCTCAGTGCGTCAAGCATGCCACGGTGTCCACTTCGTTGTGCTGTGCATTTGTTTGACGAATCGCTGTGCGGACAGCTGCAATCCTGAGCAGTGCAAGAGTCTGGTGACCAATTTGAAGGATTGCGTAGACACTGCGTATTTTGGTGGAGGAGACAATCGCACTGTGCGCAAGGGATGATGGGACCGAGCTTGCGGTGAGGCTCTCTGTGGTGGAGGACATTCGGCCCAAGTCAGAGTATGACAGCTTTCGAACCATGTACTTGTTTAGCAAGGATTTAGCTAGATCTCTTTGCGGGCATGATTGGATCCAGTCCCTGATTGTGCCGAAGCTCCGCAAAGCCATGCAGCAAACCTCGGTGCGGCGCATTCTCAGAACGAGTGAGTATCATGGAGAAATCCGCTGGAGAGACGAGTTTTTGTGGAGGAAGATGGTGTTTGCCCCAGCACCGTCCCTGCACGAATGTTTGGCTTGTGTGCAGATATGTTCCAGAGTGCCTGTGCTGAATCAAAACCATCAGCGTGTGGCGAACCTATCCAGGTCAGTCCAGATCGGGATCAGCATCATGAAAGGTGCCGATGGGTCCTTCAAAAGCGTATATGAATCCAAGCCATTTCCACTATCTTGGTAGGGTACCACTTGGACCTTGCCACAATGGCAGACTCGAACCACTTCCATGATGCGCACGAAGGCAACGTGCTCCTCTCTTTGTCTGGCGTAGATTTTCCAGAGATCCGCTGGCATGACTTCGGGGGCAGTTATAAGCCTGCGGGCGGGTTGGTCACGCCAGCTTTGACAGCTGACTTTGTGGGTAAGATTGAGCGCTTTTCCGACACAGGGATCAACCGTATCAGGATGACACACCAAGATTTTGCCTCAAGACTGAATGAGACGCGCAAGAAGTGCACTTTAGTCGGGCAAGAGATGGTACTGGTGCCATTGTGTTTGCGTCAACGCGCTTTCAGCTTGGTGGAAACCATGCTGAACGCGGACGTCACGGACACCTCGGCCCAGCGAAAGCTCTTGGAAAAGATTTCGCTGGGAATGCCCGAGCTGTCCCAAAAGGAGCTGTGGCGACAGTTCTTTGCAGGCAGGTTTGTTTGGCGCATTTACCACGCTGCCAAGAATGCCACCTGCAAGGCAGTGCCGCCTCGCAACCACCCCCAGCAGTGTGGGTCTGTCAGCTGGGAAGCCCTGCCTGGACCTTACCAGCAGCTGTGTGCAGTCTTGCCTGCCCTGCATTCATGTTCGAGAGAAAGCTGTTAAAGGGTTGACTTCCTTCTCAGAAGAACTCTCGAAAGGCATTCCCTTTTGTGACGCGCAGGAATGAAGCATTCCCAAAGCCCCCACCTCCAAAATCCACTGCGTTTGTGAAAATCGCGGAGCCACTGGTTAAACGGATGGATGTGAACTGGATTGCAGTGCTTGTGCATTGCCAGGATGGCAAGGACTTTGAGATCGTCGGCAACGCATTCAAAATCACTGCTAGTGTTTCAGATGCCCACGCCTCAGCTGCGCCACTTTGTGAAGGATCTACTTCAGCTTGTTTTGCCCTGAAATGCTGCTTCCATAAGCCACGGGATGTCAGGTGGATGATCTTAAAGAAGCTGCGCTCTGGCAGCCGCTGTTTCTGGCTCTTGTCCGCTTCTTGGTTTGAGACCATTGTCATACTGATGGCGGAGGCCATCGAGAGTTGCTGCCGAAGCTGAGCGTACAGCATTCAAGATTAGACATTTACAGACAGGAGAGCGTTGCGTGTTCAAGGGCACCCGTTTCTTTCCCCGCACCTCACCCCTTGCCGTGTCTCAGCTGGACTCCAGGCCGCCAAGTTCGAGCCAAAGTAAGAGAAGATGTCGCAAGTCTCCGGAGACAGACGAGCAGAGCATCTTGGTTTTGATGCATTTCGACCTTGGGCTTTGCCATCGAGCGAAATGCAGATTGCCATTGATTTGTCATTTGTGCTGCCAGCTGTGCCCATTTCTGCATAGGCGTCCCCAGCCTGCCAGGAAAGATCTTTACACCAGAACTTCATGCCGTGGCCAGACTCACTGCTGAAGTGCCACTTGCTGTTCTAGACTCAGGCAATGCTGCAATGTTTCACCTCGTGCAGTGGGCGCCATCGCTTCGTTGCAGAGTGACTTTGCTTGAAGGATTAGGAGCTCGATGCTCACAGGAACATGAAGCTGCGGTGTTCAAGACAAGCAGAATACCGGACCAGCAACAGTTGCCGGCGCTGGTCGAAAGCTGTTTTACAGAGGCATTCCCCTTTGTGCGCAGATGCAGTCAATGCAGTACCAAACCATTTGAAGATTTGTGTGGAGGAAGGGGTTGCACTCGTGGCTTGCCGTGCTTCAAGCGTTGCCGAGCCCTGCTGTGGAATGAGTTCTCAAACCTTTCTTGCAGGGCCCAAGCCCCCAAGTCCAGTTTCAAGGGCCGGCCCAAAGGCCTTTGCTTTTTAGTTCACAGGACGAGTGTTTTTTGTGTCACGCGGGATCTTTTGCTTGTGGTTTTCGATGTTTTACGTTTTTGGACGGTCTGCTCGAACTCCTTGTTATCCTGTCCGTCCTTGCTTGGATTTGTTGCAATGCGGATTGGGCCCAAGCTGGGTGAGCAACACCCGCAATATGAAATGAGGCGATCCTCAGTGCGTCAAGCATGCCACGGTGTCCACTTCGTTGTGCTGTGCATTTGTTTGACGAGTCGCTGTGCGGACAGCTGCAATCCTGAGCAGTGCAAGAGTCTGGTGACCAATTTGAAGGATTGCGTAGACACTGCGTATTTTGGTGGAGGAGACAATTTGATCGCACTGTGCGCAAGGGATGATGGGACCGAGCTTGCGGTGAGGCTCTCTGTGGTGGAGGACATTCGGCCCAAGTCAGAGTATGACAGCTTTCGAACCATGTACTTGTTTAGCAAGGATTTAGCTAGATCTCTTTGCGGGCATGATTGGATCCAGTCCCTGATTCTGCCGAAGCTCCGCAAAGCCATGCAGCAAACCTCGGTGCGGCGCATTCTCAGAACGAGTGAGTATCATGGAGAAATCCGCTGGAGAGACGAGTTTTGTGGAGGAAGATGGTGTTTGCCCCAGCACCGTCCCTGCACGAATGTTTGGCTTGTGTGCAGATATGTTCCAGAGTGCCTGTGCTGAATCAAAACCATCAGCGTGTGGCGAACCTATCCAGGTCAGTCCAGATCGGGATCAGCATCATGAAAGGTGTCGATGGGTCCTTCAAAAGCGTATATGAAAAGCTGACAGTCCAAGCCATTTCCACTATCTTGGTAGGGTACCACTTGGACCTTGCCACAATGGCAGACTCGAACCACTTCCATGATGCACACGAAGGCAACGTGCACCTCTCTTTGTCTGGCGTAGATTTTCCAGAGATCCGCTGGCATGACTTCGGGGGCAGTTATAAGCCTGCGGGCGGGTTGGTCACGCCAGCTTTGACAGCTGACTTTGTGGGTAAGATTGAGCGCTTTTCCGACACAGGGATCAACCGTATCAGGATGACACACCAAGATTTTGCCTCAAGACTGAATGAGATGCGCAAGAAGTGCACTTTAGTCGGGCAAGAGATGGTACTGGTGCCATTGTGTTTGCGTCAACGCGCTTTCAGCTTGGTGGAAACCATGCTGAACGCGGACGTCATGGACACCTCGCCCAGCAAGCCTGGTGCGATTTCAGAATGTCGCAGCTGTCCCAAAGGAGCTGCATGTACAGTTCTTTGCAGGCAGGTTTGTTTGGCGCATTTACCACGCTGCCAAGAATGCCACCTGCAAGGCAGTGCCGCCTCGCAACCACCCCCAGCAGTGTGGGTCTGTCAGCTGGGAAGCCCTGCCTGGACCTTACCAGCAGCTGTGTGCAGTCTTGCCTGCCCTGCATTCATGTTCGAGAGAAAGCTGTCAAAGGGTCGACTTCCTTCTCAGAAGAACTCTCGAAAGGCATTCCCTTTTGTGACGCGCAGGAATGAAGCATTCCCAAAGCCCCCACCTCCAAAATCCACTGCGTTTGTGAAAATCGCGGAGCCACTGGTTAAACGGATGGATGTGAACTGGATTGCAGTGCTTGTGCA